AGGGGCTGGCGGTGCGCGGGCTCACGGGCGGAGGGGCCGCGGGAGGGCTGCGCAGGCAGCTGCGGGCGCCGCCGCCGGGCCCCGCCGTGCTGCTCGGCACCCCCGGGGCGCTGCGGGAGGCGCTGCGCCGGCGCTTCCTGGCCCTGGCGAGGCTGCGCTGGATGGTGCTGGACGAGGCGGACACGCTGATGGACGACTCGTTCACGGAGCTGCTGGAGGAGATCCTGGCACACGCACCGCTGGCCTCTGGAGCCCCCAGGCCGTCCGGACCGGCGGAGGAGAGGACCCAGGTGGTGGTGGTCGGAGCCACCTTCCCTGCGGGGCTCAGCGAGACGCTGGCGAAGTTCACAGACGTGAGCAGGTTTGTCACCCTCACCACCCAGAGCCTGCACCGCCTGCCGCCTCACGTCCAGCAGAAGTTCGTCCGTCTCAAAGGCCGGGACAAGCTGCCCGAGCTGCTCCAGCTGTTAAAGGAGCACCCATCATCTGGCGGGGCTGTTCTCATCTTCTGCAACAGTGCCAGCACTGTCAACTGGCTGGGCTATATCCTGGATGACCACAGAATCAGGCACCTGAGGCTGCAGGGACAGATGTCAGCAGCTGCTAGAGCTGGCATCTTTGCCTCTTTCCAGAGGGGTGATGTGTCTGTCCTTGTCTGCACTGACCTTGCCTCACGGGGTCTGGACACCAGCAGCGTGCAGCTCGTGGTCAACTATGACTTCCCAGACACCCTGCAGGACTACCTGCACCGTGTGGGGAGAGTTGGACGAGTTGGAAGCAAGGCACCTGGAGCTGTGGTTAGTTTTGTCACCCATCGGTGGGATGTGGACCTGGTACGGAAAATAGAGACTGCAGCCCGGAAAAGGACAGGCCTCCCGGGAATGGACTCCTCCATTAATAAACCTTCACCTAAAGGAGGCTGATTCAAGTTGCTGGGCAGTACTAGGTGGCCTGGTAGGGACTCGCCTGAAAGTCCTTAAAGACAGAGTGACTGAGCTGCTGTTTGTAAAGTAGACTGAGAGAACTGAGAATTGAGTTTCAGAGCTAGGTGTTCAGGTTAACTTTGTATACTGTTCCGGAAGCTGCAGTAGTCATTTCCATACTCATCACAACACACGGCTTTGCAAAAGGAAGCTAGTGAGTAACAGAATGCTTTTGGAGAAGACTGAAGAATGACCTCATCAACTGATTTGATTTTGTTGAGACTTACAACTTAAATTCAAATCAGAATGAAAGTATGCCTGTATGATATGCAGCTCTGTTACATTTCATTGCTGCCCAACACTAGCAGCTAAACGTTCATTATTAAAACTTAAAAATTACTACTGTGGCAGGAAAAAAAATGGATATAACTTTGACCTGTCATAGATACACGTAGAAAGACTAAAGGACAAGTGATGTTTGATTTTCTTGTGGTGTAGCAGTTCGTTCAGAGAATTCTAGACCAGATACCTTTAAAGTTCAGTGGGAATGAGAAGGCACAATAAAGCTTGAGGCTCTTTCAAGGCCTTAATTAGCCATTTGTTTGTGGGTTTTTTGTTGCTGTTGTTGTTGAGTGAGTGAGAGAGATATGAGGGAATGTAAGCACCTAATTCAGTAATTCCAAATGCTGGGAAAGAAACCAAGGTGGCAAGAGAGCATTAGCAGAATAAAGGAAAGTGAGAGAGAGCAGACAAAGCTCTTTGGAAGTTTCTCTCTTTGCAGTAATCTGATAAGTCCACATCAGTGACTTCTAAATAGAATCATTTCATGGTTTGGAGAAACTGCGGATGTACCAGCATCACAGTCTGGCTGTGTTCGCTGGTGCAGTAAGGAATGTTGACTCCTGCAAATCAATTTAATTCTTGTCATGGGATTGGGCTGCTATCCAAAAGGCTCATGCCACGACCAGATCACTAACAGGGCATAAACACAACAACTAGACAACAATGAGCTTTGAACGTAAATGATAGAAGCAAATCCAAAAGGATGAGGAAGGAGACCATATAAGAGTAAGGACTCCCTCGATGGTAACTTTTTCACATGCCTCTGTTGAAATTTCCAGACTGCTTCCTCCTGCTGTTTTTATTTACAGGGATAAGTAAATAGATATTATACACAACGCCTTATAGACAGCATATATTTCTTCCACTTGTCCTTCTGGGTATGTTAGATGAACAAAAATCAGGGAAATTTGTACTATTCTAGTTAATATGCCAAAATATCTACATAATGACAAGTTCATCAGGTGGCAGACTGACATTATGAAGAGGCTCAAATTCATCACACCTTTCCAATCTGTGAAATTTAATAATTTTGAAACCCTGTCTTGAGAGTTCAGGAAAGAAAGATCATGGTTTTGTTTGCTTAAGGTTTACTGGCTAATGCATCTATATGTGGAGGGAGGGAGCCAAGACAGAGCACCCAGACCTGTGACTGTTGCCTGTAATGTATCTGTACTGAATTTTGGGAAGTGTTTGATAGGAATGCAAACAACAGGTTAATAATGTTGATTTCCTCACATTCAGAAGTGGTTTGGCAATACAGTTTGAGTTGGGTAACTTGAAATAGCATTGAATTTGCTAGCTGCATAAAGCTTTTGGTGTTGCGTCAGTCTGGCTTTCAGGGGCAACCTTTTGAATTTTTGTAGGTGCAGAACATTAGTGGAGTAATGGACGTAGGTGAAAGTGAAACTCTACAAGAAGTACAAAATTCCTGTCACCTCGACCTATGTAATCCTCAGCTTGAGCCAGCCAGGTCCTTTGTATTTCCTTCTGTGGCACAACCCTTTAGTCTGACACTTGTATCGTGTTTAGTGCTGTATTATGAATCATAACATCTATGGAGTCTAGAGAGAGATTTATGGAGTAATTTGCAATGCAACTAGTTATCTTTTTGTATTTTGTTAATGCATAAGTATAGCTTCATACTAAATTTTCAATATAATTTCTACAAATTCACCTGCAAACTTGAAAAGATGTATCAAAAGCATTTAGAATTTGAAGTTATAAATTCTGTATCCTCTTGGCTAGACCAGGACCAACATTGTTAATAGAATGTACCCAGATCTAATGAATTCTGTAATACACAACACATAGTTTTGGCACCCGTATTGTGGCACTTGGTATAAATACTGGAGTACAGAATCAGCAGTTCCACACAGGAAGTAGAGATTATGATTAAGTCAGATATGCCAAGATATTTTCAGATATTACTTCTTCTTAAATTATACAACTTTCTTCAATAGGTGATAGCTTACTCAGAGGAGACCACCCTATATGGAGAAGTGAGATTTTTTTTCTTTGCTTGGGGTTTTGTTTTGTTTTTTAAGATGACAAGATGGAAGACAAGGCTATTTTGATTTGGGTTTCATGCCTACCACTAGTTTTAGAGATCCATCCTGCAGTACTAAACTCTTATTTTTGAACCCTGACCAGGACAGTGGGCAACTGGAGAGTTACTGAAGGGTGGGAGTAGATCTCCTGTATTCAAGTACAGGTGAACAGGCAACGTTGTAGATAGTTTTCTATAATTTGGGGACTGCTGTTTGCTGCATGTTCATGAAGATGATAACAAGAACAACCCAGGACAAAGAAGGAATTCCAGCTAGTCAGAGGGTTGCAGAAGTCTTTTTCTCATTTAAACAATTATCCTTATCAGTAACAGGTTTTATTATTTCATTTTTATTCTAGCTGGCTAAAATCAGACCATTGCCAGTGGATTCCTAGACATGAGATTAGGAAGAGGCCTTTTTATTATAAATCTTCTGCTGTTTTGGCCTTTGGAACATGTTTTCAAATACACAAGGTATGTGAGGTTAGAAGCTACTGTTATAGAGAAGAGCATATATTGAGATAGGCCTATTCTTGGTAGGCTAAAACCTGACTGAAATTTGTGATGAAATTATAGGATTGCAGCACAACCACTTTGTAGGGTCAGTTCCCACTGCTTGCTGCTAAGTGCCTTCTCATAATGCTTGCTGTTAATTGTGATTTTTTCCTTTTATTTACTGATACGAAATCTACAGAATTTAACAGAATAGTATAGAAGTCCTGCTGATCTAAGGGCAGTATTTGTAAACACACAAAGTATCTAACTTTGTGTTAGAAAGAGAAAGGGAAGAGAAAGGCTAAGGAAAGAGAAAGAGAGGGCTAAGCATGAACAGAATGGAAAACTAGCAATTGAGTTGTTTTCTAGAGTCACTTGAGACGGTTCCTACCATCCATTTCTGCATTCCATGTAAAAGTAGGATTTTCAGAAGAACCCTGTTCTTTCATGCTTCAAAATGAAGCTTCATTAATTCTTTTGTTAGGATGGTCTCCTTGATAAGTATATTTTGAATATACTCCTGTCACTTACCAAATTCTTTACAAATTGTGTTGAACAATCTAGTTGCATAGAAGTCAAGTTTTTAAGAACAGTTTCTCAGTAAATACTGATCCTTCTTATGCATCTAGAAAGGGGAATTACTGCACTGACTCAGAAGTCTGGCCTTCCTGATACTGCTTGACTGGCATCAGAACTTGTTTTACTGGTAAATGATGAATTAAATAGGGAATGTTTACTTCCCATGAGCATTTCTTCTAATAGGTTCATAAGCGATTGGAAAACTGCCATCCATGATCCCTTTTCATAGAACTAGTACTCTGATAGTTGCTTCATTCAATACTTGAAATGTAAGATGCTTCCTTATTCCTTCCAGCTGTTTTCTTTATACTATATTGTCACTTTACTGCCTGCTAATTTTTACTCTTTTTTCTTCATGCTACAGCATAGATTAAAAATATATATTGCTTTTCTTAAAGATACAGATAATATGACTTGTCTTATCTATAACGTATTGCACTTATTTGTATGACTGCTTTGTGCTATGAGTAATTGGTAACCTTGTGGCAAAACAGACAGGAAACTTAAATAAAATATTGTTTAAAATTGTGTATGGATACTAGTGTAATATCACAAACAATGTAGATGTTCAGAAGTCCATGAAGCCCTAAAAGAACCATGCAACTCTGCTGCAGAAAGAAGGCCAGAGTATCATGAGGACTCTTCAGAGGGAAGGTAGCCCCCTCCCTGGAAGGCAGGAGAAAGTCAGGGAGGTTTAAACCTAGAGCATCCTGGATGTAGGCAGTCAGTCTCATCTAAACTGAGATACTGCTGAACCTGTCCAAGCAAGTGCCTATGGAAAGGGAACATGGCTGACTCAGTCACTGCAGTGAGTTCATGGTGTGTTACCTGCAGCAATTCCCATGGTCAAGCCACGGAAAACAAGGCTTATGGGGAACTAGCCAGGTTGTCTGCACCAAGTTTAGAATACCCTCTGCCTCACAGCATTTCTCACACGTGTGATGATCTAGAAGTCTCTTTTCTATTACTAATTACAATGTTAATTCAGAATGCTTCAAATTAGCTGCTTGTGTGAAACAATATCAGAGGGCAAAATCATCAAGAACTGGGATCTTGTGCACTGATTATGCACATTATCTAGCTTATCTAATAGATGCAGCTGGTTTATTTTTCTTAAACGATCAAAACCACACAGCTTGAAACATGGTAGAAAGGCATCTCATTCGAATTTAATTTCAAAAGTAAAATCACGTAAGATGCGGCTGTGGCTGCTCTCGGAAAAACTACAGTTACCCTTCACTCTGAGTGTAGTGTCTCCAGTCCTACTGACAGCAACCTGTAGTAGTAGTAGTCAGAACAGTGCATTTGTGACAGGTAAAGCATTAAACGATTGCACTCTGCTTTCTGCCTCCCAAAGGGGAGTATGATTCATCCTGCAGTTGAATGCCTTTGCCCTGCACCAATTAATAACAGCCATTTGCATTGGGAATTCGAACGCACGCTGGCTCAGCTGGCAGATTCTATTATGGCTGGTGGTATCAGTGAAGTATCAGATATAACTGAGATCCAAACTTTGTCATAGGTTTTGTTGGCTGCCAAATGAAACAATGCAAGTCATGATTTACCTCTTCTAAATAACAAGTTGTGCTAACACGAATTCTGAAAATATTTACGGCTATTTCTGTAAATCTTAAAATCTATGTACTATCAGGTACCTTAGGCTGAATTTCTAAATAAGACCCAAAGTTCAAGGCATCTTAAACAATCAAAGGCTCATGCTTTTACATGTGTGATATGAACAGCCAAAAATTACAGGCATAATGTTGATGCAGACTCTTGATTTGATTCTAAAAGGTTGACGTCAGGACTCAGTACTATCCTTTTTCAGACTACTGGACTGTAGCATCCAGAGAAATAAATTATTTCAGTTCCCAGTTGTCTCATCTGGGCAAGTGGTGATGCTAGAAACCAAGCCTTCAAAGTCTATTCATGGTATAACATATACAGCAAACCTGTTATGTAAGATCTGAGTAGTTCAATTCCTATGTCCAACTTCTACCCAGCAGGTGACTTGTTTGGGCCGTGGAAGGACTCCTGCAT